CAGCGCAAACAGCACGTCTGCTCGGAAGTTAGGGTACTGCTGCAAATTCCCATCGAAATGAGATACCAGGCTGCCTCCTCTTTTCCCCAGCCCAATCCCCTCTGATTTGGGTCCCGGTTGCCCCTGCTTAGCAAGCACTTCCAACCTGGCTTGGAGATCCCTGCAGGCGGCAGCCGCTTCCTCTTCCCTTTTCCTGGATGCGAGTACCTCCGCGTTGAGTTGTGTCACTGCATTTTGCAGGGCTGCTAGTTGCTGTTCTGTAGTCATCTTGCCTGACTTTTGTGAGCTCGCGAAGCACCAATCTTCTTCCCTCGCTGCGTCCACTCACGTTACGAGGTTTTTGGTGCAAAACTTTTGGAGATGGAGCTTACTGTCAGAGCTGGCTCCAGGTCCCAGCTCACAGAGGACCAACGCTAGCCGGCAGTAATGTACAAAAGTCTTTATTGAAGTACAGTTTCCATTTTCAAGCCGGAGCGCCCCAGCTCTACGTCTAGGGGTTAGATCGGCGAAGCTCCATCTGAGTCTCCGCCCCCTGTACACCAGTTTAAGATTCTAGCCTTACTCCACCTCTTACGTCTCTCCTTTCTCCTCTGGGTCCTGCTACCCCCCGGGGTCCCTTCCTTCCTGGATTCTTCTGACGCTGACCCCCCCTGACTCCTCCCCCTCTTTTCGGCGGGCTTTGGGACCTGGCTCCCTATCCGGGCTGCCAACTGCGCCGCCCTCCTGTACATTTGAACTTGGCGCGCGCGCCCAGCCTTCAACCTTCCTCTCGACCGTTTCCTCGCTCCCCGATGGAGGCGTGGCCAATCCTGACTCATGTCCTCCCACTGGCAGTGCGCCGCCTGATCCCGATGCCTGGGACTCCTCCCCCCCTACTGCACTCTGGTGTGGACGCTGGTCCTGATTTCCAACTGCTGCTCTCTGAGTCCCCTCTGGCCCCTTCTTCCTGGGGTGTCCCCTCGGCACCCCCTTGCTCTGACCAAGGGAGCCCCTTTCTGTGAATCTTCCGATTCGCTGGAAAGACTCAGAGACCTCGGACCGCTGTCATCGCTAACATTTCCTTCGGACTCCTCCCCCTCGCTCTCTATTTCCTCCCTTTCCTGTGCCTCTGCTCCTGAACCCCTGACAGGTGGGTTTGCCCAGAGGAAGGGCAACGGAGGTACCAAGGGTCATTGTGACTCAGAGTGTGACAAATACCTGAAGGACTGCCTCCTTCCTTCTAAACTAAAAGGCTCCAACCTCATAAGGGACTTACTTGGTCATGGCACGTGGGAGAGGGGCGACTTTCCTGCTGATAGACAGGACCCTTTTCTTGATCTTATCTGCTGCCTACACAGCACTGCTAGGGGTGCCCCTCACTGTGCACCTATGCCTGCGGGGGGGGGGGGGAGATATCACTCACTTGCCATAGCAGGAGACACGATAGCGTAACCAGCATGTGAAAACAAGGAATTACCAACTACTTGACAATGTAACACTGTCGAAGCCAGCTGAAATCTAACAGTTGGATAACTAAACGAAGGTCTAACAGACAGAACCAGCAACCTTACTGCACATGTGCCGCTAAAGGAAATACTGAAAAACAAGCAAAATAATATGTTAGATTGCTGCAATGTCATATGCTTAAAGCCAGAACTGCACCACCTAAGCCGTGGGCTGGTGGCCAGAACTGTAAGCCACTGGGAGGCAGTCCATGCAATGCCATAGGCCGGGAATGAAAGGAGTGGTTAATTAAGAGACAGCAACCAGCAACCTACTACATACGTGCAATAAGTTAGCAGCAAGAACTGCATCCCCAAAGCCAAATGGCAACTGTATAAAGAGGAGGTCACGGGTGGGAGAGAAGGGACTGTCCTGGCGCTGGGAGACCTCCAAATCCCAAAAGCCACCCCCACAAGCAGCACCAGTCGCAGAAGGCCTAAGCATGCTGCCAAGCGGCCCAGAAGGGATCAAATACTAAACTTGAATACTAAATTCAAGTTTAGTATTTGATCAGCAATTTCTTTTGGTGATGGAGAATTAAGTTTGAAATTCGTATCGAAAGTTCGCTTACGGAGGAGCATTTTACTCTGAATTTCGTCACGGAAAATATGGTTCGAGTATTGCAAATGAAACCGAGTGCATTTTTGTATCAGTTTGTCATTATTGAAGTGTTGTAACTTCCACAAAAATTTGAAAAGTTCACATATTTCCCTAACAGCAGAAAATCGCAGTGTCAGTCCAACAATAACAAAGTCAATTATTTTGAAGTATACATTGACTCTGAAGTCTTTTTCAGCATCCTCTTGAGTTAGACATACCCTGCGAGTAATAAAAGTATCTGAAACACCTAGTTTGACTGATACATGTTGACATTCTTGAAGTATGTTATTCCATTTCTCTCTAAAATTCAAAATGTCTGTGCGCAGTTGATCTATGTTGTCCCTTTCAACATCCAGTGTGGCATTACGTGATTCTATTACCAAGTTTATCTCATGTATCATTGTGAGAAGTTTGCTCTGAATCCTTGACATTACAACATATTCAAAAGTGTTCAAGTATTTTTTTATTCACCGAAGATCAGCTTTACATTCTGCAGTTAAATTCACTGATCTCAGATACTGCAGTTCGAATACCATCAAAATGGTTTGCAATTGGTTTTACACTATCAATCCTTGCTGACCATCTTGTTTTTGAGACTGAATGAAGTGAGGCAGGAACATTTTTCTTCAGTACCTCCCAAAGTGAAGGGCTTGCACTGAAGACATTGAACATTTTCTGAATGGTTCCAAAGAAGGTAATAGCTTCGTTACAGGCTTCAGCACAATCGGTACCAACGAGATTCAGAGTATGATTGGCACAACTAGAGAAAATGCAGTTCTCATTCTTTCCATTTAGGATAGCCAGTACACCTGCGTACTTTCCAGCCATGTTAGACCCATTGTCGTATGCTTGACCGACACAGTCTTGAAAGTTCAAATTGAGCCTCTCTAAGATGTCTAATATTTCAGTGGCAATTTCTTCTCCAGTCTTTATGGAAAACTCATGAAAACCAAGAAAGCTTATTTCAAATGCTTTACAAAAGGGTTTCTACTCCTCCCTTGACTCCTCTGGGTCCCTAATTTTGGTGGTCATATCAGTTTATTCTCTTTGGTTGACATTTCTCCGTCTCGTTGATCTCTAGCATGGCTGTAAGGGCAGGAAATCACGAAGCGGATTTGGAATAGGAGCAAAAGCAGAAAGATGTTACAGATAACTATTTAGGGTGTATCCTATGCCCTTTTAAAATGTGGTCTTTTTGGTGGGGGCAATTATAGGTTTGTCATTTTTGATTATATATTTTGTGTGGTTTTTGTTCTGGTTTTGTTCTGCGAGGTGCCCTGAGCAGTATATAAAGCCAATAAATAATAAATAATACATAGTTGCCATCAAAATCATTCCACCCACCCACCCCTTGCAAATCAGTCTTCTTCTCAAAATTTAGACTTTCAGCAGTTTGCAATCACTCCAAAGCACGGCGGATGCTTGAAGTGGTTCCCCCAAATTCACATCGTCAGACTGGAGAAGCCCAGAGAAGTTGCATTTGCAACTGAATTTCCTTTTTTGCAAGGGGGGGTGTGTGTGTGGAATAATTTCAACACAAATTGCAAAGGGGTAGGAAGTCAATGGATAAATTAAATGAATTGTTGTAGTTGTTATTCTTGTTCAAGAATGGTAATATTAAAGCACGCACTTTTGAAAACTAAATAAACCACATTTGTAGAAAACGGTTGGCACTCACCTCTCTGGCAGTCGCACTGGATGGTCCTGGGAGTAGAGGTGAGTGAGAGCCAAGTTGCCACACAGGACATTTCTCGGCTTATTGAACCTTGCAAGGGATCCAGAGGCTCATCCAGCCCAACCCCGGCCTGACAGGAATCTCAGCCTAGAATCATCGGGTGGTAGAGCTAGGAGGGAGGTGTTTTGACACTTCCCATCCAGCTGGCAGGCAAGCAAAATGGACAGGAAGTGCCCTTCTCCCTGGGAAAAAGCCTGGCTCCTCCTTGTTTCTCTGGGGACGTTCTCAAGTGACACTCCAAGGCAGCTTCTAATGCCACTCATTAGACGCTTCAGCCAGCCTCCCGGCTGTTCCTTGTTTTTCCGAACTGATGAGAACACAAAGCCTTGATCCTTTTATGATTATGAATTATTATTGAGCTTTTCAATTTTTTAAAAAAATTCACCTATTATTCCTGAATTGCAGGGGATGGGACTAGATGTCCATGGGACCCATTCGAACTCTATGATTCTATAGTCATTCACTTTTTCTGGCTGGTGTTTGTATCCTCATACTTGCTGTATGATACTTTGTCACTCAACTCCCGAAACTTCCTTTTTCTTCACTGCTCATCTCTCAAACCCTATTTTCCTTAGCGTGAAAATATTCTGATGGATAGCCCAATTGCCCATAGACAGTTCCCCGTTTGGACCTCACCATGTCAGCATAATCCATTATTTTATAAGCCATCTATCCTGGATGCTTGAGCCAAGATACCTGTCTTGTCAGGGGCTGGACTAAATGACTGTTGGGGCCCCTCCCTTCCAATGCTACGATTGTGATTTGCCTATCAGGTTGTTGCCAGTTGAGTCCCCTTCTGCGGAACCTCCGTCCCAATTATCCCTCACAAAAAGGCTTTGGGATTTCTCCATTTCAACATTTTTTTATATTCATTTCCCATAAATCCTTGGCCTTTGCAAAGGACCACCATATATGGAAAAACAACCCTTCCAGCGGTTCACTTTCCCAACCCATATCTGAAAGCTTATTGTGGCTTACAGGGGATTTTTTAAAAAAGGATTTATCGCACCAGCATTGCCACTGTCTCCTGGCTTCCTCCCGAGCCCCCTGTCCCCGAACACTTTGGCCATCCTTTTTCTGGCCTGTTTTTCCAGGCTAGCTGCAGTGCTGCCCACAATCTATTTGAGGCATTTCCCCCCCCCCATAACATTTTATTAATTTTCCAACAATAACACAAAATAAAAACCCTTCCTTGGTTCTATTGTATAGCAATGTACTACATGTCCATTATAAAGTTTTAACCGTTTGAAATACTTATTGTCCATTCATAATCAAATTACAAGTATTCTTATAAACCTGCCAATGTATTAGCCTGTGTACGTTGCTTCTGTTTATACAATTGAGGCATTTGTACCTGGTCATCTGCCCTTTGGAACTCCCTGCCTCATATTTAGGGCAGGTGGCTCACCAGCTCTGGAGATCTTTCTTTTCAGCACCTGCGCCAAAGATTCCCCTTCGGAGAAGCCTAACCCTGAGATTAATTTTAATTCATTTTGAGGCCTTTTAACTTTCATAGGGGTGGGTTTTCCTCCTTTTCCCCATATTACCTCCTTGCGAATCGCTTTTGACAATCCAGCAGGCTACAAATCTCAGGAAATTAAGTAATGAATCCCTCCAAATGACTATTTTTGTAATTTCTTTATTTGGTTCCTAAAAGGCATAAGCCACTTGATGGAAAACAAACCCTTGAAACCTCAGGGGAGTTGACTAGATGCAAGACTATAAAACCAAGAGTGTCTAGTCCCAATCGGGTTTCCATGTGCATCTTCACCCGCTGCTCTGCTTGGCTGCCAGCCGCTTGTCTCGCTCCTCGGCAATGGTGAGGCGGATGCCCTTCCCACGAGGCAGAGAGATCCACGGCTTGTTCCCCTGGATTTATTGCAAAAGCAAAATATAAACCACAAAAGATCTCATCAAAATTTCTTCACGTAACAATAACTTTAAAAAAAAACATTCCATGGTAACCTCTGCAACCTCCCAAAATTTCAAAGCTTTCTATCTACGAGATCCACCAGAAATATTCAAGGAAGTCGGCACCCTCAATCCATCCACACAGTGTCGCACAACTAATGTCTTGTTTGCAATAATATAAAACTAGGACACAAGGGGCTGAAATGGAGGTTGGGCAAGGAACTTCTGCAAAGAGGGAAATAGGCAAGAGGGCCAGATTTTTGGTTTATGACATAAAATAGGTTTTCTTCCTGCCTTGCATGGGATCAGACTAGACGACCGGTGGGGTTCCTGTCTAGGAAGCCCTCAATCAACATGGATCTCACATTCTGGAGATGATGCCATAAATTCCTATTCTTCCTTATAATCGATAAGCGCAAATGTTTAATTATTATTTGCTGGTGTGAATGGATTATTGCTTTAGTTAAAAAAAAAAAAAAATAGGAGCAAGCCGCAAGGCATAGAATACCACCCAACGTTCAAAACCATGGAAGCTTTTCCATGGTTTTGAACGTTGGGTGGTATTCTATGCATCTCGGGGGGTGAAGAGGTCTTAATAAATTCCAGGAAAATTTGAAATAATATTAAATAAAAAGCACCCACCTTGCCGATGACAAAGATGTTGGAGAGCCTGGTGGCGAAGCTGTTTCCTGTGCTGTCCTTGACGTGGACCACGTCGAAGGATCCGGGATGACGCTCTCTGTTGGTGATCACCCCGATGCGCCCCAAGTTGGCGCCCCCTGTCACCATGCAGAGGTTGCCTGTTGGGGAGAAGAGGGAGGGAAAGGGTCAGAAGGCGGAATTGGGACTGGGCAGGGGGGACAGAAATATATATATGCTTCCAAAAATGGGGGTGCTCCGGAAGGGAGCTTCCAGGGCCAGAGGAAGTCTGCCCATCTCCCCCCATTGGGGAAGAATTCTGGCGCTCTTGACACGCTCAGAGGAACCGTCACCTGTGTCGAACTTGATGAAGTCGGTGATCTTGCCTGTCTGCAGGTCGACCTGGACAGTGTCGTTGACCTTGACCAGGGGGTCCGGGTAGCGGATAGTGCGGGCGTCGTGAGTCACCAGGCGGGGGGTGCCCTTGGTGCCCACCAGGATGCGGCGCACCTTGCACAGCTTGTACTGCCAGGAGGAATGGGGAAATCAGTCATTTTGTCAATATTAAGAGAATGCCAGCAAGGCCGAGTATTTCTGTAAAAAAGGGATTTGAACCCAGTCTAACTCACGAGGGATTTAAATCGTGACTTAAATCACGAAACCACTCCGAGCATTTATTGTTCCTTCCTCTAGTTGTCCACCTTAAGATGCCAGCAAGGCTGAGTCTTTTGGTAAGAAAAGGATTCAAATCAATTCTCACCTTGGCCTCCTCAGGGCTGATGCGGTGCACGGCAAAGCGCCCCTTGGTGTCGTACACCAGGCGGAAGTGCTCGCCAGTCTTCTCGATGCTGATGACATCTGCAGGGAGAAAGGGCGGGAGTTACGACGGGATGCCAGTGTGGTGCAACCACTGCATAAACCCGTTTTCCGCTGTGCGGAATGCCCCACCGCTGGAAATCTGGCATTTCAAACCCCGCTGCTAGAAATCTAGGGCCTTACCCATGAAGCCCGCCGGGTAGGTGACGTCGGTGCGAACCTTGCCGTCAATCTTGACAAAGCGCTGCATGCAGATCTTCTTGACCTCGTCGCCTGTCAGGGCATATTTGAGCCGGTTGCGGAGGAAAATCACAAGCGGGAGGCACTCACGCAACTTGTGGGGTCCCGTTGACGGGCGTGGTGCCTAGAACCCCAAAAGGGAAAGGGAAGGTTACAGGGTGGCATGCATTTTCCCAGATGATATTTTACATCCCTTTGTTGTTTTGTCACAATGTTCAACAGACTCCCCAACTTATCCTTCCCCAAGATCCTTTATTTTCTACATTTCCGTTATTTTGAAGTATAATGTTGTGTTAGTTTCTCTGTTACTGATTATCAGTTCTTGTTGTTATGCACTGTGTTTAATTTTGCATTTTTCTGCTATAAACTATCCCAGGATGAACGGTGGGATTTAATAAGAAACCACAAGGAATTTATAGATTAGAAATTCAATAAACCATCATAAGGAATTTATAGATTTAATACAGATTTAATAAACCACCACAAGGAATCTAATATGTAAATAAGGAAACAAAACTAAGGTTAAGGCATTTAATGAAGAAGCCCAGGTGCAAACTAATGCCTAAAATGCAAGGCTCCCCGTTTAAAAAGGGTTGTAAAAGGAAATATAAATATGCTTTTTCCCTATCTCCTTTTATACAAAGTTGGAAAAAAGATACTTGCAAAGACTCCCGTCAGCTTGTCCAGCATCCAGTGCTTGGGGGCTGCCACCCGTTTCAGGTGCTTCTTGGGTCCTCGAGCCTGAGGGGGGGGGGGGGGGGAAGCAGGCAAAGGGCGTGGGTTCGAATTTGCCCGGATGTTTAAGTAGATCATTCTCGCAATGCGGCGGGCTCGACTAGATGACCCTCGGGCCCCTTCCAGCCGCCCCTGTTCTATGAACCCGCACCCAGCTCTTCAGTTACTCCCGTTTTAATTGATTCCCATTTAGTTTCTAGTCGAGCATCCTTTGGCTCCCTTCTCCGTTAGGGCAACCCCCCCCCCCCAGCCAGATCTAGCCTCGCTGCTGCGCCCTAGTTCAGTGGCAGGCAGTTCCCCCGGCCCTTCCCAAGCGATCGCTTTAGAGAGCACGTCTGGCCGGCGGCCTTTTTCCCTGCGGCCCGCACTGCGCATGCTGGCGCCCCCCCCCAAGAGCGAGAGAGCCCCGCCGCGGCGCCTCCGCGCCCCATTTCCCCGCCCCACGGAAGAGCGGCGTCTCCCGCGCCCCCGGCCCCGAAAGCGCCGCGCCCGGCGGAGCCGCCGCCGCGGATGGCTACGGATTGCTCCACCGACCCGAAGCCCGAGCACTCACCATGGCTGCGGGTTCTCGACGCAAAAGGAGAGCACTTCCGCCGCCCAGGGGTTATATATCCGGGTCAGGCAGGGAGGGGCGACGAAGCCCTGGCGGATGGAAGCGGCGTTGTCATGCGCGGGGGCTTCGCAGCCAATGAAATGGGGAATTGGGATCCCGAGAGGCTGTTAGGGAAATCTGTAGTATATTATGTTTTATCGTTTTTTAAAAATATTCTGTTGGTGGCTGGGAAATAGTAATAAATTATTATTATCATTAAACGCTAAATTATTATTATTTTAATAAATTACACCCACCCAAGTGGGACACGGCCTCTTCCTCCCTAAGCCTTAACAGTATAATATTTTTATTTATTCCAATTGGGGCGGGGAAGCTCCCCTTGGCTACAGCAACTCCAGAGTAACTGGCTGTGAGTTCAGATCTCCATTGCTTTCCCCCTCAGGCCGCCTTTAATGTATTGGAAACTGTATCTGAACAATGTATTGTTCAGATGAACCACTGCTGTAAGCAGTGTTTTTGTAACCAGGTAATTCCTCAAGATCCCAATTCCTTGACTTATTATTAAATGCAATCACCTTGTGGTTCATTCGCATATTCCTGCCTTGCAGCGGGTTGGACTGGAAGACCCTTGGGGTCCCTTCCAGCTATAGACACCATTATATGATTCTTGGGAAAGTGCTTCAGAAAGAATAAACAAGGGAAAAAACACATTTCTTCCAGTTAGTCGTATGATGGCTCATAAGGAAGGGAGGCTTCTTTCCCACTTTATTATTTCTTCCACTGCAATCTGTTCTTGACATATTATATGTCTGCTTTTACGTAGACCCCCTCTTTCCCTTCTTGGGAAAATAATCGATCCTACTGATATTTCTTAGGTCTGTATGGGCTCTGCTGAATTCCTGCTCTGAAGAGGAGGAGGAGGAGGAAGCTTTGCCTGACTAAGGGAGAAGAGGAGGTTGAGGAAAAGTCAGCTGCAGGCATGAAGGTAAAAGGGGAAAAAATAGAAATACAAATTAACATATAACACTTAAGAACATTTTTAAACAACCCCACTCCTGATATATCACACCCACCCAAGTGGGGCTTGACCTCATCCCCCCTAACCAGCACAGTACAGTACAGTAAAAATATAGTAAAGTATTTTTATTTATTTGATTGGGGTAGGGCAGCACCTCCTGGCTTCACCCATGTTGGTGTGGTTTGTCACCTTTTCCTGTTCTTGTTAGGCTATCTAAAGGTGACAAAGGAATGTGTTGAAAACTTAATTTCTTCAAATGAACCATTGCTTTAACCAGGTATTACTCAAGGCACTGATTCTTTCACCTATCGATTTATCCACATAATCCAAGCGGAGATTAATTAGCATCTAAAAGTGGTACACTTGCACATTACATCTTTAGATAAATGTTTTGGAAAAGGCATAAATTTAAAAAGATAATTAATTTGCAAGCAAATACTTGAATGCCCAGTAAATTAGATAGGCAGTGAGCTGGCTGATTTGTCTAATGGAGCATCCAAAACCCAGTTTGGGTCTATAAGACCCAGTTTGCCCCCTCCCCCCAGCCTTAATGGCAACCCTCCATTGCTTTCTGTTTGATTTTTTTAACAGATACTCTGAATTGAACACCACAAGAACAAATGGGGATCAGCCCCTGCTGTAGTGACCAGCACTAAAAGCAATTTGAGTAATTCAGATCAATAAAGTAGGAATAATTAATATTTACAAACCAGCAACTTCACACCAGTTTTGGACACTTGCAGCAGCTTGCAATGTTAAGAGAGGTGCTCTAAAGAAAAGCACTTTCTACATTTATGAGCCTTCAGAGTAGGCTCATGGTTTTCCTTTGCCTGGAGGTATAAATGTTGTTAGCATATGTGCAAACACCCCAAGAACTTCAGGCCCGCTCCTGACTGTCGAAATGCTCTTGGAGAGGCTGTAAGCAGCACTTCCTCTGCTCTCAGTCAGCAAAAGGGGATGGCAAGATATGCTTCATGGCGTAACTTAACTTGCAGCTGCAGGAGAAGTGTGGATCCCTCAGCCATACACAAATCCCTGCCTTGTAGCAGGTTGGACTGGATGACCCTTGGGGTCCCTTCCCGATATATACTCACCCACTCACCCACCATCATATGATTATTTGGAAAGTGCTTCAGAAAGAATAAAGAGAAATAGCATTCCTTTAAGTTAGTTGTAGTTGTCGGTATGCAGAGGGTCACAAGGCCAGCTGGCTAGCCCCAGCTGGATCATGTTCTTCCAGCCGTCCCGCTGCAAAGACCCATCTGCCTCTACTCCGACATAAATCAGCGACCCAGGCTTCAAAGCCAGGGCACACTATATCAGCCGAGCGAATTGCATACACAGAATAGGCGTGAGGCTTGTGGAAGCATACTACAACTATGGATTTATTGATCATAAATCAGGACAAAGAAACATGTCATCTCTCTCTTTGTCTGCTCAGAGAGACAGAGAGAAGCAAAAGCTATACAGTGGTACCTAGGGTTATAGACGCTTCAGGTTACAGACTCCGCTAACTCAGAAATAGTACCTCGGGTTAAGAACTTTGCTTCAGGATGAGAACAGAAATCGCTCGGCAGCAGCGGAAGGCCCCATTAGCTAAAGTGGTACCTCAGGTTAAGAACAGTTTCAGGTTAAGAACGGACCTCCAGAACGAATTAAGTTCTTAACATCTGAAGGCGGCCCTGTTTAGGGTAGCTTTTAATGTTTACTAGGTTATTGTATTTTGGTGTTTTGTTGGAAGCCGCCCAGAGTGGCTGGGGAAACCCAGCCAGATGGGCGGGGTATAAATAATAAATTATTATTATTATTATTATTGTTAACCTGAGGTACCACTATATACACAACAGAAGTTCCCAGCAAGCTGTGCTGGTATGTAAACAGATATGTGACTTGCAACAGTTCCATGTTTGCAACTAAAGGTGGAATGGAATTTTCCAACAGTAGATAGCCGCACTTCCTGTGAGCTACCTTATTATTCCTTGCACATTAATTTGAGCTTGGGAGTTCTTATGCCTGTTTTTACACAGACCCCTCTTTCAGTTCTGAAAAAATCCGCCCCAGTGATATTTCTCAGGTCTCTATGGGCTCTGCTGAATTCCTGATCCAAAAAAAAGGGGAAGGAGAAGGGGAGGCCTTGCCTGACAGAGGGATTGAGAAGAGGGTCGAGAGAGAGAAAGGGGATCTTTTGAGACAAGATGCCAATGCCCCAAACAACTCCTTTAAGTTGCTTTTCCAAACATCTGATTTGCCCATCAGCGTGGCAGCCAAAGAAAAGAAAATGTGGCAGAGGCAACTCCCAGACATCTCCATGCAGTTGCAAAAGGTGGGTTGCCTGTATGGGCTCTGCTTTATTCCTTAATGTCGAATGCTACATCTGCCTAAGTCCACTTCCATCCACTGGAAAAGCTTCTTAGCAGCAAGGAGTAAAGGGAACGGTGGGAAATACCTATCTATCTCTCTAAATCGGTAAGACGGCACAGTCCCTACACCTCCACAAGGCCTGGTCCTTTCCAGAGGTGCAGCCTGCCTTCTCCAAAGGTGGATTTCAGCTCAAACAGCTGGTCGAAAAGTCTCTTTTCCTCTCCTCACACCCATAAGCCTGGCAACCTCCCAGAGAACAGTCTCTATTCCTCGATGGTCAGGGAGATTGCATTTTCCCACAGTCTCTCAAAAAATTGAAATCTTAGCATTTAGTAATGTCTAAATAAAGTTTGGGGGGTGTCACCCCTTAAAAATCAACTGTGCAATTTGCCCCACAGCAGCCCCAATGCCACAAGACTAAGTGGGCTGAGCCCCTGCAACAGGGGCCAAAACCAAAAGCCGATTGAATCATTTACATTTACAAATACTGGCATATATGTATGCGCTTTGGAAATTAGCAGCAGTTTATAATGTTAAGAGAGGTGTTCTAAAGAAAAACACTTTATACACTCATGAGCATTCCCTTAATATAATAATAATAATAATAATAATAATAATAAATTTTATTTATATCCCGCCCTCCCCAGCCAAAGCCAGGCTCAGGGCGGCTAACAACAAACAAATAATCAAACAATCAAATAATCCAACATTCTAAAACATTCCATTATAAAAATTAATTAAAATCAAATTAATGGCAACCGTTAAGCAAAGTTCTGTGCAGGTTGCCAGAGGAGGGGGTCAGGCTGGGCCCTGACCAAAGGCCTGGTGGAACAACTCTGTCTTGCAGGCCTTGCGGAAAGATGTCAGGTCCCGCAGGGCCCTAGTCTCTTGTGACAGAGCGTTCCACCAGATTGGAGCCGCAGCCGAGAAAGCCCTGGCTCTAGTTGAGGCCAGCCTAACCTCTCTGAGGCCTGGGACCTTCAGGATGTTTTTATTTGCAGACCGTAGGTTCCTCTGTGGGGCATACCAGGAGAGGCGGTCCCGTAGGTACGAGGGTCCTAGGCCGTATAGGGCTTTAAAGGTTAAAACCAGCACCTTAAACCTGATCCTGTACTCCACCGGGAGCCAGTGCAGCTGGTATAGTACCTGTCAGAGCTGGCTCCAGGTCCCAGCTCACAGAGGACCAACGCTAGCCGGCAGTAATGTGCAAAAGTCTTTATTGAAGTACAGTTTCCATTTTCAAGCCGGAGCGCCCCAGCTCTACGTCTAGGGGTTAGATCGGCGAAGCTCCATCTGAGTCTCCGCCCCTGTACACCAGTTTAAGATTCTAGCCTTACTCCACCTCTTACGTCTCTCCTTTCTCCTCTGGGTCCTGCTACCCCCCGGGGTCCCTTCCTTCCTGGATTCTTCTGACGCTGACCCTCCTGACTCCTCCCCCTCTTTTCGGCGGGCTTTGGGACCTGGCTCCCTATCCGGGCTGCCAACTGCGCCGCCCTCCTGTACATTTGAACTTGGCGCGCGCGCCCAGCCTTCAACCTTCCTCTCGACCGTTTCCTCGCTCCCCGATGGAGGCGTGGCCAATCCTGACTCATGTCCTCCCACTGGCAGTGCGCCGCCTGATCCCGATGCCTGGGACTCCTCCCCTACTGCACTCTGGTGTGGACGCTGGTCCTGATTTCCAACTGCTGCTCTCTGAGTCCCCTCTGGCCCCTTCTTCCTGGGGTGTCCCCTCGGCACCCCCTTGCTCTGACCAAGGGAGCCCCTTTCTGTGAATCTTCCGATTCGCTGGAAAGACTCAGAGACCTCGGACCGCTGTCATCGCTAACATTTCCTTCGGACTCCTCCCCTCGCTCTCTATTTCCTCCCTTTCCTGTGCCTCTGCTCCTGAACCCCTGACATCCATCCCCCTCGAAGCCCCCCTTCCCCCTCCCCTCCTTCAGGTGTGGGTACTGGGTGCTCCGTCGTTGTGGGGGTCAGTGCCGGATACAGTTCGTCCCCGTGGCGTGCATCCAGCCGGATAAGTCCGGCTCGTCCTCCGTGCTCTCGCCGACCTCAATTTCCTCTGCTTCCATCTCTTTGCCGCCGTGCTCGAACCCAAGGTCCTCCCCCAACACGTCCATGTCCGTCTCCCCCGGTCTCCTCCGGGGACGTTGCCTGCCAAGGACCCCCCAGCCACTTCCTGCGCCACTGCTCCTCTGGTTGATTGTCCCACCAATAGGAACGGTCTGAGGCAGACCCCGAAGGTGATCCCTCCGGGGAACGTGTTTCTAGTGCCGGTTCCTCGTCCGAGGTGAACCCCTGGAATGTGCTAGCTGAAAATGTGGGTGTGAAAAGCCAGTCGTCGAAATACTCGGCTGGCATGGGCCTGTGTGGGAAAAGGGCATGGAACTCGTCCTTAAGCCAAGATTCCTCCAGAGCATAATCTGGCACCCAACTGTTGGCGCTAGCCGGGGTACCTTCCTTGGCGAGGAGGTATTCCACTCCCTCCTCCCCCCATCTCGAGTCTAAAATCTCTGTGACTTCGTTGACGGGTTCCCGCCTTGGCGACCCCCCCCTTGTGGGCGTTTCCCTGAACGGGTCTGGTGCCGTTCCTGGCTCCTGAAATCTATGAGGTGCTTTGTAGGGCGTGAGCACTGATCTATGGAAAACTGGGTGCATTCTGGATCCCTCCGGCAGTGTCAACCGGAAGGCCACTGGATTGACCTGTGCCTCGACTTGGTAGGGTCCTAGCTGCTTATGCCCTAGCTTCTTCTTCGCTAACGATCTGGCCGGCACTGCCTGGGCTGCTAACCAAACCCAGTCTCCCACCTGTATGTCTTCCCCAACCCTTCTGTGCTTGTCAGCCTGCAGTTTGTATGCGTGCTTTGCTAGTTCTAACTGCCTCCGAAGCTGTTCGTGAACCTCCTGCAACTCTGATGCTAAGGCTTCCGCTGCCTGTGGCTCCCCTCCCCCTCTCTCGCTAATCCCGGGAAGGTTCTGGGATGCCTCCCGTTGTTGGCGAAGAACGGTGTCACCCCCGTGGACACGTGCTTCGTGTTGTTGTAGGCGAACTCAGCGAGCGGCAGGTAGTCCACCCATGTTGCCGGCTGCTGATTTGCGTAGCATCGCAGGTACTGCTGCATGATGGCGTTGACTCGCTCCGCTTGTCCGTTCGTCTGCGGGTGTCTCGCCGACGCTAGGTTGATCTTGACGTTCAGGAAACCCATCAGCTTCTGCCAGAAGTTCGAGATGAACTGTCGCCCCGGTCGGACAGGATAGACCGTGGCAGACCGTGAACCCTGAACACGTGGTCTATGAACAGTTTGGCGGTCTGTTCCGCCGTGGCCACCTTCGCGCACGGAATGAAGTGGGCCATTTTGGTGAACATGTCCACCACCACTAGCACTGCCGTCTTGCCCCTCGAGCTGGGTAGATCCGTGACAAAGTCCAGGGCCACCCTCTCCCACGGTTCGATCGGTGTCTGCAGCGGTTCGAGCAGTCCCGCCGGCGGTTTGTGCACTGACTTGGCCCTTTGGCAGGTGTCACACCTCGAGACGTAATCCGCGACTTCCCCCCGCATCTTGGGCCACCAAAAATCTCTGGCTACTAATTCTACCGTCTTCTCTTTGCCAAAGTGCCCGGCGGTGGGTGCGTCGTGCAACTGCTGCAGTACTTTCGCGCGGAGGTCGTCTCCCGGTACGTAGAGGGCCCCTCTGCGGATGAGCAATCCGTCGCGTATCTGGAACTCGTCGTCCTCCGCCGTGCCCCTTTGCACCTCTGCCATCTTTGCTTGCGCGAAGGGGTCCTCCTGCAGTGCTCGACGTACAGCATCCAGGTCCACGGTTGCTGAAGCGCACGCCCACGCTTTCGGTGCGAAAATGTGCTTGGCCGCTGCTGGTGCCGCCTCCTCGAGGTATTGCGGCTTTCTGGACAGTGCATCCGCCATGATGTTGTTGTCGCCTGGGATGTACTCTATCCTGAAGTCGAAATCCGCAAAGAACTCCGCCCATCGTATGTGCCTCTGGTTCAGGAACCTTGCCGTGCGCCAGTACTCCAGGTTTTTATGGTCCGTGCGGACCTGCACTGTGTGTTTGGCTCCAATGAGGAAGTGCCGCCACGCCTTGAATGCTGCATGAATGGCCAGCAACTCCCTGTCCCAGATGGTGTAGTTCTGCTCTGACTTGCTGAGCTTCCTGGAGTAGAAGGCACACGGTCTCCAGTCCCCATGCGGGTCTTGCTGCAACAGTACTGCTCCCACGGCTCTGTCTGAGGCGTCCGTTTCAACCCTCATCGGTCTGCTGGGATTCACATGCAGTAGCTGCTCTTCGGACGAGAAGAGACGCTTGAGTTTCTGAAAGGACTGTTCCGCTTGCTCCGTCCAGATGAACTTCTTCTTCTTGGAGCTGAGTGTGTCGGTAATGGCTGCCGTCTGCATCGCGAACCCCTTGATGAACTTGCGGTAAAAGTTGGCGAAACCGACAAACCGTTGGACCTCCTTCCGATTGCGCGGGCTCTTCCAGTCCAACACTGAGCGAACCTTGGCGCTGTCCATGGCGAGCCCCTTGTCCGACAACTTGTAGCCCAGGAAATCTACTTCCTTCATGTCGAACTGGCACTTTTCCAGCTTGGCGTACAGCCTGTGCTCCTGCAGTCTCTGCAGAACTTCCTTGACGTCTCCCTCGTGGGCCTCCTCTGATTCTGAAAATATCAGGATGTCGTCCAGGAAGCAGACGCATTTCTTGTAGAGGAGACCCGCCAATACGTGATGCATGAAGGCTTGAAAACAGTGGGAGCCATTTTGTAATCCAAAGGGCATAACTCTGTATTCATAGGTGCCCAGGGGCGTGAACATGGCAGTCTTCCATTCGTCGCCCTCCCGTATGCGAATCAGGTTGTACGCCCTCGCAGATCCAACTTTGTGAAAACGCGTCCTTTCCTCACCGTTGCGAGCAGGTCATCTATCTTGGGCATGGGAAAGGCTGTGGGCTTGGTTTTTGAGTTCAAAATTCTATAGTCCACCACAAGCCTTTTTTGGGGCGTGTCCTTCTTCTTCACAAAGAATACAGGACTGCCCCCACTGCCTTCGACTCCCGGATGAAACCGCGCTTCAAGTTGAGGTCTATGAACTCCCTGAGTTCCTGCAGCTCGTCTTCGGACATGGAATACAGTTTCCCGGTTGGCAGCGTCGCCCTGGCAGGAGGTCAATCTTGCAGTCATAAGACCTGTGGGGAGGTAGCTTGTCCGCTTCCTTCTCGCAGAAAACCTCCAAAAACGCTGCGTACTTGAGTGGCACTGCTTGCAGCGTGCCTAATTGTAGCTGCGGGTCATCCTCTTCCCCTTCCGGGCTAGGCAGAATGCAATGTTCCGCACAGTATGAGGAGCCGAAGGTCAGTTGTCGCTGGTACCACGCCAATGCTGGGCTGTGCCTGTGCAGCCAACTCATGCCTAATACTATAGGCGTGTCCGACAGTTGGGTGACATTGAAGCTGATGACTTCTCGGTGATTCCCAATTTGCATCACCATCGGAGGCGTTTGCTGCACCACCTGCCCCCAGCAATTCCCTGCCATCCACCGTGACAACTTTCAGAGGCAGCGTGGCTGGCAGGAGTGCTATGTTGTGCTCTTGAAGGAAATCCAGTCCTATGAAGTCTGCGTTACTACCAGAGTCAATGGTAATCGGCACTTCCATAGTGAGTCCATTGGGTAGTTGGAGCGATGCTGTGAGCTGCACCACTGGTTTGGGCGGGAGGGGGTCTGTGGGCTGCAAAATCTCTGGGGACGGCTTCATTGACTTGTCTGGTTGGGCCCCAGTGCCTCTTCCTCCAACCAGACTCTGTCGTTTCCCTGCTGTGTTTCTCTCTGCTGAGTTGCTTCTGTTACTGTTGCTGAGGCTGCAGTGTGCTTGTGGAGCCTCTGGGGACACTCTTTCGCCATGTGCTGAGCACTGTCGCAGATGTAGCACTTCCTGTTCCCTCTAGGAGGCTTCGCTTGACTGCTCCCGGTGTTAAGGCTCTGGTTGTTGACTGAGCCCTGGCGCCTCCAATCTCCATCGGTTGCTCTCCCCTCCTTGCGGAGGTGGGGATTGCACACGCGCTGTATCCTTGGGAAAGAGGGGAGGTGCTCTCACTGGCGTACGTCCCCAACGTCCTTCTTCTCTGTTCCATGGACGTTCTTCCAGACGCACCCCAATTTGCAGCGCCCGCCGGACAACCTCCTGAGTGCTCTTTGGTCTCTCCCCCCTTGCAATCTCATCTTTCACATTTGCATTCAAGCCTTCCCAAAAAGGTCTCTGACTGGGGCAGAATCCTTCTCCCATCCCAGCGCATGGACTAATGCAAAAAGCGGGAATGGTACTGCCTTACACTGGCTCTGCCTTGTTTGAGCCCATGTATGTCTTTTCTGGCGATATCAATGTCTATATTTGATAAAAACACGAATCCATCGCTTTAATGAATGCATCCGCATTTTGGAGCGCCGGATCCTTATCTCTCCACAGATTGCGCAGCCACGCTTTAGCTTCCCCATGCAAATGGGACAAGATAAACCCCACCTTCTCTTGCTCATCTCTAAAGTCTTTATCCAGCAGTTCCAGCGCAAACAGCACGTCTGCTCGGAAGTTAGGGTACTGCTGCAAATTCCCATCGAAATGAGATACCAGGCTGCCTCCTCTTTCCCCAGCCCAATCCCCTCTGATTTGGGTCCCGGTTGCCCCTGCTTAGCAAGCACTTCCAACCTGGCTTGGAGATCCCTGCAGGCGGCAGCCGCTTCCTCTTCCCTTTTCCTGGATGCGAGTACCTCCGCGTTGAGTTGTGTCACTGCATTTTGCAGGGCTGCTAGTTGCTGTTCTGTAGTCATCTTGCCTGACTTTTGTGAGCTCGCAAAGCACCAATCTTCTTCCCTCGCTGCGTCCACTCACGTTACGAGGTTTTTGGTGCAAAACTTTATGAGATGGAGCTTACTGTCAGAGCTGGCTCCAGGTCCCAGCTCACAGAGGACCAACGCTAGCCGGCAGTAATGTGCAAAAGTCTTTATTGAAGTACAGTTTCCATTTTCAAGCCGGAGCGCCCCAGCTCTACGTCTAGGGGTTAGATCGGCGAAGCTCCATCTGAGTCTCCGCCCCTGTACACCAGTTTAAGATTCTAGCCTTACTCCACCTCTTACGTCTCTCCTTTCTCCTCTGGGTCCTGCTACCCCCCGGGGTCCCTTCCTTCCTGGATTCTTCTGACGCTGACCCTCCTGACTCCTCCCCCTCTTTCGGCGGGCTTTGGGACCTGGCTCCCTATCCGGGCTGCCAACTGCGCCGCCCTCCTGTACATTTGAACTTTGCGCGCGCGCCCAGCCTTCAACCTTCCTCTCGACCGTTTCCTCGCTCCCCGATGGAGGCGTGGCCAATCCTGACTCATGTCCTCCCACTGGCAGTGCGCCGCCTGATCCCGATGCCTGGGACTCCTCCCCCCCTACTGCACTCTGGTGTGGACGCTGGTCCTGATTTCCAACTGCTGCTCTCTGAGTCCCCTCTGGCCCCTTCTTCCTGGGGTGTCCCCTCGGCACCCCCTTGCTCTGACCAAGGGAGCCCCTTTCTGTGAATCTTCCGATTCGCTGGAAAGACTCAGAGACCTCGGACCGCTGTCATCGCTAACATTTCCTTCGGACTCCTCCCCCTCGCTCTCTATTTCCTCCCTTTCCTGTGCCTCTGCTCCTGAACCCCTGACAGTACCGGATGA